ACACACACACGAAGGGGTTAGCCCCCTCCCTCCACAGGCCCTGCTTACCTCCGGCTGTGCTGGAGGTCAGCGGGGGGCTCCGTGGCTGCTGGAGGGTCTCTGGGGGGCTTCAGGGGAGCGGGGGCGCAGCGGGCTTTCACCCGCGCCTCTCTCGCCGCTCCCGCGTCTAACTGGGGCTTTTTCCCTGTCGGCGGGCCCTTTTAAACTGCGCGCACTAAGATGAAATAGCCAGTGTTGGGGTGTGACACCCCAGCGCTGCCTATGGTTCCCTGCTGGTTCACAGCACAGGAAAGAGGACCAGTCATTATACCAGGCCACATTCAACACTGGTGTGAGGAAATGATCTCCCCTATGGCACAGAGTCAAGCTCTAGAACTCATTGTGGCCAGGACTGTAGAGGAGTCAAGAGGAAGAGGGTGTTTGTGGGGGTAACATGAGCAAGTGCCCAGAGCTCTAGCACGCAGTGCTGGCAGGTAGATCGATCTTGCTGCTTAAGGGTTTGAGGCAGTCTCTGGCAAGCAGGAATCAAGACAGGACTGGAGTCTGCTGCTGTGGCCTCTTCCTCAGACACAGCTAAACTTGGCAGTTGTCAGAAACAGGAGGTTGGGTTGGCTGGGACTCAAGTCAGATGCAAGGTGGTAGTTTCTATTCTTTACAGCCCAAACCTCTGTGCTTGGAGCTAGAGGAGTAATTCAGCCATGAATGACTCGTGCCTCTTCAGACTGGGAGGGCATGGCAACCACCTGCAGGTGCTGGTGGTGGTGTTGGCAGCAGGGGCGTGGTGGCGGTGAGTGGGGACCACCCTCAGGCAGCCGTGGTGATGTTGGTGGCAAGGGTGGGCTGAGCAGGGACCGCCTGCAGGCAGCTGCGGTGGCGGGGGGGGTGGGGAGCGGAAGTGGTGAGTGGTGAGCGGTGACCGTCTGTAGATGCCAGGGGCAGCATCAGCAGTGGCTAATCTCAGGGGGGGCATGTGTCGCCTTTGAAGTCAACAGCTGGTATCACCTAGTGGGGACAAAGCACATGTTTTACCTGTGGGTAAGAGTGGTGGGACAAGTGGGAAAATGGGCAGAGGCTTAGCTTCAGAGTTGGCACTGAACAGCCTCAGGACTTCACTCTTCAAGCTGGTGCTGAGGGGACACCAGCCAGGTGGAAGGGTTCTGGATCCACATAGCAGCTGCTCTTTGGGCCATCTCTCAGAGGTTGCTCCTGCAGAATCACCAATGGCCTGGGGTGGGGAGTGGGTATTGCTGGAAATGGAAGAGGCTTTTCCAGGCCAAGACTCTCAAATACACACCTATAATATGGGGTCCCAGGGGTGGCCATGCACCCCCTAGTGGCTCTGTGACTGTTCCCTGCTCTACCCCTAGGGTGCCTTCCTATCTCTCCTGCCATACCTTGATGGTAATGTAAATAAATATAAAAGGACGCTGCCCACAGACCTTTGCTAGGCCTCGGTCACACTGGTCCCAGGCCCCTGGCTGGGCCTCTGTACTCTCAGGCCTCTGGCTGGGGTCCTGTAGTCCACTCTACCCAGCTGGGCACCCAAAGCCTTATAAGCTAGTTGCGTGGCTCCAGACCTCCCCTCTACCACACCCCATGCTTCGCGGGTGTTACTGGTATGTTGTCCCTCTGTTGTGGCCTTGGCCTCCTCAGTCTCTGCCCCTTTAATGTAGCTAGGCCTTCTAGCTTAGGCCCACTGAATAGGACCTGGCTTTGAGGCTCAAGCTTTACTTGTCCCTTCAAGTCACTGAGCTCCTGGCTCCTGTATAGTGGGCCTCTGGCTCGTGTGTGGCTGTGCCCTCTGGCGCCGGGCCCCTGGCCCCTGTACAGTTGTGCCCTTCTTGGACGCTGCTCTGCACTCAATAAGCATTCAAGCCCTCAGCCTGCCCCTTGCAGGGCTCAAGGCAGTCAAGTGTCCCCCCGACCACTAATGAGGCCTCCACCTCCCCTACAGCCTCATCTGCAAAGCACTGGTTAAACAATAACATAAATTATAAGCCCCTGGGCCATAACATAAACAACCATGGAGACCATGCTCTGCCCCTTTAAGAAGCAAACTTCCCCCTAGGACAGCACATCTCCTAGCCTTGGGTACTTTGTAGGCTCCTGGACCCTTTCTATCCTTGTAAGGAACAAAGCAGGCAATCAAACATCTGTAGGCAATTCTCTAAAGCAGGGACTCCTTACCCTGTGGCAGCCAGGGAGAGAGTGACCCTGATAGCCCCAGCCCTGAGCTTATATGTTCCCCTGGTCCTGCCTGCATCTGGTCATCTGACCACCTGCAGGTGCTGGTTAATAATCCCATTAGCCCTATTGCCCCAGCAGCTGGTAGCTGCTGCCCCGTGCCTGCCTGCAGAGCTCCCTGGCTGGGCTGCTTTTCCTCTTTATGTAACAGAGAGCACCAGGCTCTCTGTTACAACCCCCCATATTCCCATTCACATCACTAGCTCCCTACAGGGTTCCCCTCAAGGTGGTCTCTGACCAGGACCCAGAAGATTAGGAGGATGCATTGCTTCCAGTTCTGGGCAGCCTGTTGCCTGGCCTGCACTTGCACTTCACTTGCTGTGTCCAGAGGATGCAGCTAGACTAGATCCAACTCTACATTCATTACCCACTGCCCCTAGCCAGGGCCTGCAGGGTGCTTCCTCCCTGAGGGGTGCTCTTGCTACACCCTTCTGTGAGTTGAGCTCGGAGCCATGGCCCCAACTTATCCCCTTTGAAGCAGCATGTGCCCGGAGGGATGGAGCAAGGAAGCAGCCCCTGCTGTTGGAACAGAGGCTCTTTACATCTTCCAAATGTCCCTCTCATGCTGGGAATCAGGCAGATTTGACCCTGTTCAGTAATAGCATGCAGTACTAAGAGCTGTAACCATGGTACTCGCTGGGCGCATCTACATGGAACACTGACTGCACAGTAGCCTGATACTACTGTGCAGTAGTGTTGCATCGCAAAAACTGTGATGTGACACTACTATGCAGTAGTATTAGGCTACTCTGCAGTAGCATCATAAAAAAGGCGTCCGCTTGTGCTACTGCACAGTAACTTGAGTTACTGCTCATTTATTTTGCTTATACACGTATTAAATAAATGCATGGTAAGCACTTCACAGTATCTGAAGTGAAAGATAGTAGTATAACACCTGCAAGGCTCAGGACACAATATAAGGATGGTTGGAGTCCTGTATTATGCCCTTGGTATTACAGCATAAAAAGGCCAGCCTCCCACCTAGAAACAACTTACTAATTACATCAAAAAGCATGGCAGGTAAGAGACATGGGCAGACTGCCCTGGACAGATGGGTGGGCTGACATAGTTATCAGCCTCAGGACCCATCACAAGGTCATAAAATAGGCAGCTGTAACAGGCATTTGGCATTTCAGCCCCTTCTCAATCACCACTTTTGCATCCCATCACTCCTCCATTCACAAAACCCGGTGCCTCTCTTCCCTTCCCCCATGTAACTTGGACTTCACTGAGCCACCAGAATGGGAATGGACTCCAAGCCAGAGATGCCCATAGCCTTGTGCCCAGAGCCCTTTTCAACAGCTCTAACTTATCTTTTCTCACTCTCTTTTCCCAGCTTTCCTTGCTTCCCTTGTATTTTGATCGGTTAAGCAGAAACACTTGCTTCCCCTGTATTTTGGCCACCCCTGTGCTTAGATCATGTAAAGGCAGGGTAGCCCAAGTACAAGGAAAAAATTGCACCAGCTGGGGTTAGTGGGATGGGCTCAGTATGCAGCTGGCAGCAGGGCCTGACTGAGTGCTAACTGTGTCCCAGCCAAGGATGCCCCACCATGGACTGAGCCTGTTCTCTTGTTTCAGGGTCTGACCATTAAACCTCTAGTAAAGTGGCTGAAGGTGAAGCGGAGCGACCATCACAAACCAACGCTGAACGAGGAACTGCATGAGCATGTAGGTACCAAGAGGGCACAGGGGGCTGAGGGATGTGCTCTCTGCCTCCAGATCATGAACCACCCCCTAATGTCCTCAGCTGATAGCTTTAGGCAATGGCAGTTGGCCCTTGCTGCCCAGGGTGCAGCATTTCTATTGCTCTCGCTTTCCCTCTTTCAAGGCCTTTGACCACATTCTGGCAGCAGTGGAAGATGTTGTTGGGCACCATGGTTACCACTACTGGCGAGACAAGTGAGTGACCACATGCACTGGAGCCACCCCCAGTCCTTCACACAGGACAAGTGTGCATTACACAATCCTCAGCCCCTTGTCCCACTGTTTTCCCCTGCTCCTGCACTGATGGTAAACAGGTCAGCCACAAGGCAGTGCAATGAGGTCCATGGTGACCTGCACGGGCTTGACAGAGACCTCTTGCTATGAGCAGTCTTGAGAGAAAGGAAGGCTCTGTGATAGGCGTGTGTGTGTGTGTGTGTGTGTGTGTGTGTGTAAGGCAGGCCTGCTGTAGCTGTCCATTGTTGTAGGGGGGCGCACCTTTCAGCCCACAGCACTGCTGGGAACAGTGACATGCCTTCCCCAACTCAGCTCCTTTCCAGGCATTTCACTGTGGTGGCTGACATTTCCCCCTCCTTCAGAACAGAACTTTCTTCCAGCAGCTGCTCTCAGCTCTGCTCTTTCTCTAGTGCCTGCAGTGACTGAATAGTTACTATCTCCTTTTAATAGCTCTCACACCCCCACTGAGCTATCACTGCTCACTGCCCCTCACTAAACTGTCCCTGTTCCTGCCAGGCCCAGCTGGGAATGGCATCTCTGTACCTATTTTAGTTGTGGTTTTTGTATTTGGCTGGAAACTGGAGAAGACTCTTTGTTTGACTGGTGAAACCCTTCCTTCCATCTTGGGATGGAAGGGGCTGGTGCTGGGGGCAGTATGCCCTGTAATGCCAACTTTCTATACACGTGCTGTGCATATGTGAGATAGAAGTACCCTCCTCATCTTATACCAGGTGGGAACAGTTTGACAAGAAATACCTGAGCCAGCTCCTGATGAGGAAATCAGCCTACAGGATCAAAGATGAAATCTGGGATGTTTACTACAAGCTAAACATCCGTGATGCCATCAGCTTTGTGGACCAGGTAAGTTTGTGACATGCCAACAGCTACCACATGCCTTGGGAGTGGCTGCCTCACAGCTCTGGTTGGGAGCGGGATGCCATGACTCTTAGAGCTTTGGAATCAGCTGACTTTACAGCGGGGCTTTCTCTGTCTTCTCCCTACAAGGATTATTGTAGAGATCCCTGAGAAAACAGGACAAGGGAAGCCAGTGCCTTGGGCTACCCCATGGTCACTGGCGCTCGACATTCAATCTGTGGGAGAGAGCATAAGACTTCAGATACCATTCTGAGCCCCTGGTAGTCCCTTGGCAGACCCCAGGTCCCAGGTGCATCCATGGGGTCTTCTTTGGGACTTTGCAGCAGTCTGAAAGACTTCCTGTGCTCCTTAGCATTGCTGGGGGTCTGGGTCAGTGTTAAAGTTCACATTGCCATCTGCACCATGGGCCCCTTAATGCCCTTCAGCTCCTGGGCTGTGGCCTGCAGTGTTGCCTCAGGGTCTGCTTGAGATCAGGCTGTGCCTGTCAGTGCTGGCAGGCTGAAAAGTCAGGCAGGTGTACATGATCCCACAGTGCTCTTGCCCATCCATTAGAGACATTGCTGAGCACTGGCACTGCCCCCAGCCAGGTCCCAGCCCTTTCTCATGAGTCCAGAGAGCACCAGGTACCCTGTGCATTGGGGAGTTGGCTCTCCCAGATCTTGCTTTCCTCTCCATGGTGCTCCAGCATCCAGCTCAGCTCTTGCACTCCCCAGGGGCTTTAGTGCTTTGGCTGGGAGAAAGAGCCAAAGTCTGAACAAGAGGAGTCAAGACTGTCACCTCTCTGAACAGCCCAGCCACCTGCATCTTACAGGGCAACCACATGAATGAGAACAAGAATGCCCGGGGGCTGGCATCAGCATCAGAAATGGGGCCATATTCCTTGAGAGGCCATGAAATCATTGTCAGCATCTTGCACAGAGCAGCCAGTGCTACAGGCTAAACACCTGACTCCCTGCATTGGCCCAGCCCAGCTCATGCCCCAGGTAGGGCCTTCTCTTGCTGTGTGGTCCAGCCACACACATCTCTTCCTGCTACCCCAGGTTCTTCCACAACACAGCTTCCTGCCAGAACCTGCTTCTGATTTTTCCCTTTCCCAAGACCTGAACAACATGAGAAATTTGCACTGATTCACTTAGCACTGCTTTGAAGCAGCCCAGCCCTGCCCAGCGCCCTTCTGCTCCACCCTGACAGTGATTCCTTGCAGCTCAGCTGAAATGGATTCCTCATCCACCTGGGCCAAGCCTAACTTTGTTTACACCTGTTGCATGTGCTTTATATGGGGACCAGTGTTACCCACCACATAAACAGCTGCAACTCATTCATCCCAGCTCCAGCTACCACTGGAATAAATGTCACACCCTGTGGCTGCACTTAGTCATGTGTATCACACTGGGTCTACACCTGCCCATCCCTCCAGCAAGGTGCAGAATTCCTTCTAGCCCTTGGCTGTGTCTCTTAAATCCTTCCACACATATGTAGCACAGACTGGAAAGGCCCTTCAGGCTCTGTGCTGGAGAATGTGGAGATATGGGAATGGTCTGGGCCTAACAGGGATTTTCCTTGTGTGGCAGTGGCTGGGGGCTATGTGGAGGGGCTGCAAGCTGGATACTGTTGATCCTGGGCTGGGAGTGGGGTGGCCCCTAGGAATGCTGCTTGCTAGCACTAAGAGGCTGTTGTAAAGGATTCTCCCCTGGATTCAAAGCTCCTGGGGCCATGGTAGCTGTACAATTGCCTTGTTGTATCTGCTGTGGGGTGGGCACTTCCTTGTCACAGTTCATACAGATCCATTGTAATGTGCTCTGGCAACAAGGGGCCCAGTCAGTGCTGGCTGTGGGGGGGGCTCTGTTATGCCCCCCAGAAAATGCATGGCGCCTGCCTACACATTTCACATGGCCATCAAAGAGCACTCTGATGGCAATAGTGCCCTAAAGCATTCCCTGCCCAGGGCTGTCTAGAACAAGCTGCTCCCCTCCCTAACAGGAGAGGCTTTGTGGGGCAGCTGTGGCCAGCTATGACATGGCTAATGCAGAAGGACCTGGGATAGTGCATCAAAAATTGGGGCCTAGGAACCTGCTCCTGCAGGAACAGCCCAGGGAAGGCACAGGACACCAGCACAGCTCCCATCACAGAGCTGACATAGAAACCTCAGGAGGCCTCTGCCAATACAAGGCCTGGACCATGCCCAGTCCCTTGAGATCTGAGGCTTCTGCAAAGGGATAGACTTGAAAGAATACTCAGGTTTCAGCATTAAGACCTGAGATGGGTCACTCTTGCACCCTTTGGCTGGGCTGACACTGAGCAGCCAGCTGGCCTCTGCTGCCAGAGTGCAGTGGGGTGCTCTGATGTACATTTGGATCTCTTGCTCCCTGCAGGGTGGCCATGTGCTCTCCGCAGCAAAGCTCACACTGCCTTCCATGCCCAGTAGGACCTCCGTGTCAGAGTCATCTGTCACCAATCTCCTGTGAGTATGTTTCCTCTCAGTGGGTGGGATGGGGATAGGGTGCTTCTGGCAAAGTTCCCTGCTGCAGACACACCCAAAAACCAAAGGCCTCCAAGCCCCCTTTGCCTTCCCCTTACCAGCTCTTGAGGTATGGCCCTGGGCAGAAGGGAACATGCTTCAGCCTAGAAAGAGAGGTTTACTTTGGGGGTGAGGGAGAGTGTAGACTCCAGGCTGCGGTTAACATGTTCTGTCCCAGAGTGGCCAGCTCCCCTCATGAGGTTGAGACTCTGGGTGCACCTGTGGTTTGAGCACAAGGCTCTGCAGTTTATTTTATCCAGCCTCTGCACAGCTTGCTATTAGTCACCAGGTCATTGGCAGCTCCCACACCTCCCTACTCAAAGCTTTCAACCCCAAACCCATTCTTCAGTGCTCCACAGCCAGCTCCTTTTCCAAAGATTCAATAACAGTACATGCCCCCAGGCCTCTACAGTCAGGCCTCCCACAGCCCCAGCTATATAGGGGTTTGTAATGGTAGTTGAGCAACCTTTTCTCTAAGCTAATTGAGTTTTTGTGTGTGGCTTTCCCATGTTTTCTGAGTATGTCTGTAAGTATAGGCAGTGTGTTCACTCACATTATCCAACTGTGCCTCCCTGAATCCCACACAGACCTAATACTGGCCTAGCCCCCACACAAACCCACTGCTTCATCATATCCCACCCCTGACTCCCTGTTTTGGCCAGACCATTCCTGGGCTGCCTTGCTATTGTTTCCAGCCTCTGCTCTACTCTTGAGTGTTGATGAACATTACTGTAAAAAACAGGAGGTCAGGGGCTGGAGAGTGTGAGTGCTGAGCTAGGCTGTGGGGGTGTTAATGTAAGCAGGCCTATATGGGAGGGAGGGGAGGCATGGAGAAGTACACAGGGGATGGAGGAGGGCTGTGCAGAGGGCAGTTAAGGGGAGAAGTGGAGCTTTCACTGAAAAGGTCCTGCTTTCCCTTCCTAGGTTCTCGGGGTAAAGAGGCAATGGGAGCAAATGGGGAAGGTGGCTGAGAAGGATCTGTGTATGGGGGGGAAGAGATCTGTGGGGAGCTATGGGGAGGGGGGCAGGGGCTGAGTCGCTCTATGCTGAAGCATTATAGCTTCATCACAACACTGCTGCTTGGGGCTGTGGGGCTGCCAGAGCAGCAGTGCAGTAGGAATCACTGTGCAGGGACAGGCAAGGTGATGGAATTGGAAGGTCTAGGTGGTTGCTGGCTGCCTTTGTAGAGTGGAGTTAGATTAGGATGACCCTAGGGCAGGGGTGTCAAACATATGGCCTGCAGGCTGGACTTAGCTTGCGGAGCACCCCGCCATTCAGCCACTGGTGTTGCCTCAGCTCTGATCAGACTCATACAGGACATGGCACATGCCCATGTCTTGGGACTGATCAGGGCAACAGACCCCCTCCTGCTTCTCCTCCTCCACCAGCATACTTGATCCAGTGGCTGCTCCAGCTGGTCTGGGATGCACAATGCATGCAGTGTGGATCCTGGAGTGACTGTGCTGCATGTGGTACCCACCCTGGCAGCACAGGTGCCTGACTGGCTGGAGCAGGAGCTGTATGCAATGCAGTCCCAGAGGTGCCAGGGCAGGTGCCGTGTGTGGTGCAGTCCAGCCAGGGCAGCCACCATGTGCAGCTCAGCAGCTTCTCTGACCAGAATGCACTGCACGTGGTGCCTGTTCTGGCCACTCTGAGATATGTGCTGCATGCAGCATGGGTCCTAGACTGCCTGGAGCAGCTACCAGATCAGGTATGCTGGGGGAAGCAGAAGGGGAGGGAGTCCATGAGCCTGGTCCAGCCCACAGACTGGCTCCAAGCCACTCATCCAGCCTTCGGGGCCAGATGAGTTTGACACCTCTGCTCTCAGAAGTCATTTGGGTCCTGGTTTTAGCTGCAGCTAGTCTGCAAGGGATCTGTCTCTGAGTGAGGCCAAGTGTGAGCAAGGTGCAAACCCCAAGGGCCTCTTGAACTGGGTGTCACATGCTTGTGTGAGTAAGCCCATGTGCATGGGTATGCCTCCCTCTTCACAGGGGATGTTTTACCACTAGCCTTTGTGCCAACAGACAGCAAAGTGTCAAAGGCAGCACATTGACTCTGCTCTGCTTGGGGAATCACCTGCTGTGTGATAACTACAGGAGAAGAAATGGTATGCTAAGGTTCCCAGGGGGTGCTGTTGTGAAACCACAAGACCTCCATGCCCCTTGTGTGTGCCAGGAGTTCAGATCTTGATGGGATCAAATGAGCTCTTCGGGTCTGTGCTTGCCCTGCAGGGCTGTGCTGGCCTGATGCAGACCTTGCTCAATGCCAGCTCCAGCCCTGGAGCACACACAAATCTTGTCAGTTGCTTTTGTGCTAACAGACAGTGAAGGTACAAAGCCAGGGCTTTGACTGTGCCCTAATCACCCTATGCTGAGCACTGTGGCTCTGTCTCACACACAGGAGGGAAAGTGGCAGTGGAGCTCGCCTGGACCTGCAGGTGATTGACACAGTACGGTGCCGGCGGGATAAGGAAGATGCTGTGATGCACCATGTGTTACGTGGGAGCCTCTACAAGCCACGCAGGAGGGTAGGCATCCCCCAGCCTTGACATCCTGCACTACAGAGTGAACAGTAAAAGCATGGGAACACATAGAAAGTTGCTTAACCACTTGTGGGTGCCTCCAAAGATTCCTGGGCATTGGTTTTGGACTCCTGATCATTGTCTATAGCAGGGGTGGGCAATTATTTGGGCCCACAGGCCAGTCAGTACCCTCCACCCACAACATCCCAGAGCCCACATGCCCTGCAGCTCCTCCCTGCCACCACAAACAGTGCATAGCCCCAGCCCCAACCCTGGCCCACCCCACCTTTCTGGGCAGCCTAGGTGGCAGCAGTGGCTCCTGGAGTTTTAGGGTCGGAAGGGACCTAATAGATCTTCTAGCCCGACCCCCTGCCAGGGCAGGAGAACAACAACAACAAAAAACAAACCCTAAAAACAAAAACGGGACTCAAATGAGTCCAGCCAGGTAGGTATTCTTAAAGATCCCCAGGGTAGGGGCCAGCACCATCTCCCTTGGAAGTTGGTTCCAGCTCCTAGCCGCCCTAACTGTGAAGTAGTTTTTTCGGATGTCCAATCTGTACCTCCTCTCCATCAACTTGTGCCCATTACTCCTTGTTATGCCAGCGGGGGCTAGGGGAAACAGCGTCTCCCCCAAACCCTTCTGGTTCCCCCTAGTGAGTTTATAGACGGTCACCAGGTCCCCCCTCAGCCTTCTCTTGTGGAGGCTGAATAGGTTCAAGTCCCGCAGTCTCTCACTGTAGGGTCTGCCCTGTTGTCCCCGGATCATGCGGGTGGCCCTCCTCTGGACCCTCTCCATGTTGTCCACATCCCTCCTGAAATGGGGCGCACAGAACTGGACACAATACTCCAGCTGCGGCCTGACCAGCGTCGCATAGAGGGGGAGGATCACCTCCCTGGCTCTACTCGAGATGCACCTGTGGATGCACGACAAGGTCCGGTTAGCCCTGCCAACCATGACCTCGCATTGTCGGCCCATGTTCATCTTGGAGTCAATAATGACACCAAGATCCCTTTCCGCCTCCGTGCTCTCAAGTAGGGAGCTCCCCATCGTATAAGTGTGCTGCTGGTTCCTACTACCCAAGTGCAGCACCCTGCACTTGTCCGTATTGAAACACATCCTGTTCCTGTTTGCCCACCCCTGTAACCTATCCAGATCCTTCTGCAATCTCTCTCTCCCTGCTAGCGTGCTCACCTCCCCCCAAATTTTGGTGTCATCAGCGAATTTAAACAGGTTGCTTTCCACCCCAACATCAAGATCGCTGATGAAGAAATTGAACAGCGCAGGCCCCAGGACCGAGCCCTGGGGGACTCCACTACCCACCTCCCCCCAAGTCGAGTATGATCCATCCACCACCACCCTCTGAGTGCGACCCTTCAGCCAATCTGCAATCCATCTGACCGTGTAGGCATCTATGCCACAGTCGCCTAGTTTATTAATTAGGATGGGGTGAGAGACGGTGTCAAAGGCCTTGCTGAAGTCCAGAAAGACTACATCCACCGCGACACCTGCATCCATGGCCTTTGTGACCTGATCATAAAAGGCAATCAGGTTGGTCTGACATGATCTCCCCCTAATAAATCCATGCTGATTGCCCCTGAGCATCATTTCTGATGCCGGCCCATCACAAATGTGCTCCTTGATGATCTTCTCAAAGAGTTTCCCCAGGATTGAGGTAAGACTGACGGGCCTATAATTGCCCGGGTCCTCCCTTTTCCCTTTTTTGAAGATGGGGACCACATTAGCTACCTTCCAATCGTCTGGCACCTGGCCCAAGCACCACGATCGCTCGTAGAGCCGTGCCAGGGGCCCTGCAATAACCCCAGCCAGCTCCCTCAGCACCCTGGGGTGGAGAGCATCCGGACCCGCTGACTTGAACGCGTCCAGCCCCTCCAGAAGCTCTCTAACCCGGTCCTCCCCAACCTGAGGTCTGAAGGCAATCCCCTCGCGTCCGGCTTCTATCACAGCAGGGAAGTCCCGGTCCCTGCACCAGAAAACGGAGGTGAAGAATTGGTTAAAGAGGTCCGCTTTATCCTCTGACGCAACCACCAGATTGCCCCGCATATCCTGCAGGGGCCCCACATTACCCGGCGCCTTCTTCATCCTCCCAATATATTTGAAAAAGGACTTTTTGTTATCCTTAATCCTGGACGCTAATCCGAGCTCTATCTCCGCCTTGGCCTTCCTAACAGCCCGCCTGCAGGCCCGAGCAGAGGAGGTATACTCCTCTTTGGAGATTACACCCCACTTCCACCGGGCGTACGCCGCCTTTTTGGCAAGCAGGCATTCCCAGACACCCTTGGTGAGCCAGGGGGGCTTTTGGACCCACCCACTTAACCCAGGGGTGGGCAAAATGCAGCCCAGGGGCTGGATGCCGCCCACCAGCCCTTTCTATCCAGCCTGTGGGGCCCCTAAAAAATTTAGAAGATTAATATTAATCTGGCCTGGGCTGCCTGTCATGTGGCCCTCAATAGCTTGCCGAAACTCAGTAAGCGGCCCTCTGCCCAAGATAATTACCCACCCCTGACTTACCCCAGCCCCGTGGTACTGGCAGGGACCCACTTGCACAGCCCTGACCCCAGCCTGCCCCATGCTCGTTCCAGATAGCCCAGTGGAGTGGACCAGCTCTGAGCTAGCCAGAACGGGCATGCACAGCCCCCATCTGACCAGCTCCAGACTGCCTGACTATGCTGAGCAGTGGCAGTGGCTGGGCAGAAGCTACTGATGGGCCCAGGAGAAAAGTGTCCGTTCCCACCCTCCCTCCCCCATTTGCCGGGCCCTTCTTGCTGCAGCCACCCAGAGCCCATGCCCAGCCTTCCCTGCTGCTCCTTTCTGCTGCCATCGCTGCCACCTCTGGGCTGCCCAGTGTGGCAGCAGTGGCAGTGCAGAGGAGCCACAGGGCAGCCCAGGCATGGGCAAATGGGAGGGGCTGCTTTTCCTTCATGCAGAGCAGCAGCTTCTGCCTGGCTGTTGCCACTGCTTCCACTGCTTAGCATGGGCAGGCAGTCCAGAGCAGGTGCAGGGCGGGCTGGGTAGGGGTTGTGCGCAGGGGTTTCAGCTGGTCCAGAGCTGATCTGCTTCACCGGGCCGGGTCCAGAGCGGGCGTGGAGCGGTCCAGGGTCAGGGCTGAGCACACAGGTCCCTGCCAATACCACAGCAGCTGGAAGGAGCTGCCACCACCTGGGCTGCCTAGAAAGGCAGTCCAGCTGTGGAGCCACCCTAACCCCACTGCGTGCCCAGGGGACAGCAGGACGCACCACGGGCTGGACAGTGCCTGGGCTAGATGGGACCAATAGACCAACAAAGTCCTTCTATGGGCCGGATCTGCCCTATGGTGTTCCTTACTTCTTGCCCCAGTGCCAAGGTGTACAATCAAATAGTTCCCAGCCTCTACTGCAGGGAAGTCTGTTTCAGCAAGGGGGAGCAATGTGCCCTTTTAAACAGTCTTGCTGCTAGTGTGGAATGAGTGGTCTTCACTAGGACTGCTCTGAATCATGCTTTGCTGCAGCCACTGGAGCTTGGAGAGGATCAGGGACTTTCAAAGCTACAGCTCCTCATTCATTGTCCCAGGAGGAGGGCACTGAATTGCCCTAATCTATCAAGAGTGTCTGCTTAACCATTATCACTTGAAAAGGTGCTGTTATTCCTGATACTCAGGTATAAAATAAAGCTAGGAGAGACCCCAGTCATCCCTCTCTCCTCCCCCTCTCCCAAGCTGGTTCTTGTGGGGTGGAGAAGGAGCCACATGCCCCAGGGAAGGCTTGGGCAGTACAGGACATGCCCATTCATATCCTTTTTATGAGGAACCGTTGGGCCCTTCCTGTCCATCACTGTTCTTGCAGGGTCCACACCACAGACAAATCACTTGGACCTGAACTGAGACTCTTAAGTGAGCTCCTCGTGACAAAGCTCACCCAAACCCTGCTTAGCAGAGACTTCTGTTGTGTCTTGTCTTTTCTTGTGGACAGCCAGGAAGCATTTTGTTACTACCAAGGGGTAGTGAGGAAGGCACAGGCTTTCAGAAGTGTTTGGTGTGTCTGAGAGCAGGGCACAGATAGGATCTTTAGTGTTTCCAGTCAGAATCTGTCATCTGTCTACTTTTGGCTGTGGGAAAAGCCCCACCCCGCCATGTCTTCTCCAGATGTATTACCTGGGGGTCAGATATCAGTCATGTGCTGACTATCTTCAGCAGAGAGACTTGCACAGGAGGTGTACCTCCTAATGTGGGGTCCTGCTCCTAAGACCTGGCTATTCCCATGATGTTTCCTCATTTTATCCCATATTCACATTGCTTTCAGGCTGATTTTTATGGGCTCTAGCTCAAAGCTAGCAGACCCTGGCTGGTGGGATGCTGCTGCTCTTGCTCTGTAAATCATTTGCTTCCTGAGCACTGGCATCAAATTCCACTTAGTGTCCCTTGTATAAGGCTCCCATGTGAAACAGCTATTCTTGCAGCAAAAGGGAGCAGAAAGACAGACATCTAAAAATGTATAAAGAATTTAAAATATTATAGACTTATGGGGAGGGATTTGAGTACCCAGCTGCTAGTGCAATTGTCTTAACCTAGGAGGCCTGAGTTTTCAGAAAGAGCTGAATACCTGCTGTCTTCAGTGGGGATGATGGGAACTTCTGGGTACAGAGTATTTCTGAAATCATATCCCAAATACTGATTTCACACTTTAATAGAATCTTAAGGTTATCAGGGAGGAGTGAGCAATGCTTCTTTCACATGGTAGTAATTTGAGAAACAGCAACAGTGTCTTAGCTGTAGCACCCTGACCTCAGGACAAGTGTAAGGGGGATGAGAAAAGACCCTGTCTCTGTTGTTAGGGAGCTGACTCTTGCCCTGATACGGACTTCTCCCATGGGTGGAGTCTTAGTATCCTAGTAGCTGGCAGAAGGGCTATTTGAGGCTTTCCTTGGCCTAAGTGTATCAGATAATTTGGTGATAAGATGCTTATAGAATAATTGACATACCATTGCTCTGCCAAGAAGGTAGATGTCCAGAGTCTCCATTGTGCTCTAGGGCATGAAAACTACAAACAGTAGTATTTAGCAACTGCAGAGCATAGCAGATAATATTGCATCAGAACGCCTGGCTTATTAGCGTGCAGCGTCTGGCCCTGCAAGCTCCTCATGCCCAGTGGTGTCAGTGGTCCTCCTAAGGAGGGATTGAAATTGGTGTGTCACAAGGTTCTGGGTTTTCTGACAGCAAGGCAAGCTCCCCTCATGCTGCTGTGGCCCAGGTCCCCATTTCAACCAAAGGTCAATAATATGGTGCCTAGCCTGAATCACCTTGAAGCCCATGGTGAAGAGGACTAAGCAGATTCAAACTAGTGGGCATGGTTTGCCTGAATCACTTAGATGAAGTGGCCTTGAAAATCTCATCCTGTGGGGCACAGGAACTTGCTGAATTGTGGCCTGGCAGCAGGCAGCCTGCTTCCCTCATGCTGGAGAGCTAATTGAGCCTTTCCCACAAATGCCCAGCTCCTATGCAGCCAAGTACATTGTCACTGGGACAGTTTTCTGTGGCTGGGCTGGGGTTGGTCTGTAGGACACGTGATCTAGTTATGGAGGAACCCTTGCTGCAAATTGTAAGGCTGATGCCCTGGAGCCAATGGGGAGGAACAAGCCATGAATGGCTACAGAACAAATGGCTTGCTCCATCTCTCTGATGGTTCAACCCTTGTCTCTTTGCCTCCTCCTTTGGCTAGTACAAGGCCAGCTACAGCCGCCACTTCATTTCTCCAGATAAACAAGAGCGGCAGGACAAGGAGATATTCCAGCAAAACATGAAGAGACGTCTGGAGACCTTCAAGTCCACAAAGCACAACATCTGCTCCTCAAAGAGCAAGGCCCGGCTGAAAAAAGATGTCAGGAAAAAGGCAAGTTCCCCACTGGCAGTGCTGTCTGCAGCTCCCTCCCTTGCCCTGCACTGGAGTGGGTTTGGCCTCCCCTCAAGAGTTGGATGTCCACGACTTCTGACAGCACAAAGGCTGTAGGACACTGGGATGAAGTTAGTTAGAGCACAGGGCCCAGTGAACGACCTACATCCCACACACATGAGACTAGACCTGGGGTTGTTTGGTAGTCACACTTCTCAGTGACTCAGTGAGCAAATCTGGCTTTTTTTACTATGACAGTTGCATTTCACCAATGTGGTTGTCAAGACCTTATGGAAACCTTGCTTAAAATGTTTCCGCTCTGGAGGCAAGTTCCAACAGAGCCATTTGGATCTGAAAGGAGGCAGTGAGATCCAGATGCAAAGTGAGCACTGTACACCCCAGAATACCAGCCTCACTCAGATAGCAGCTTTGAGTGCAGCAGCTGAACTGGGGCTGACTCTCCTGTCTGTGTGCACTAGGCAGTCCCTACCTCTAAGGTTTTCAACCCTTCCACACATTGCCTCAGCATGCAGAGCCCATCAGTAATACACAGGCTTCCCACCCTTGTCACCAGGGGACACTCTGACATTTGTAGACTCCAGCTTGGCATCCTTTTCACCCAGGCTTCAGGGATGCCAAGCTGGAGGCTTCAGAGTAGACTTTCAGGGCATTTTTACATGTGCTCCCAACACAGTGCTGGGCCCTTTTAGTTAGTGAGCTGCACTAATTAAAAGCACTTGCACGTCAAGTGTATCAGCAGCACAGCGTGCCTCCATTCTGAGAAAATGGTGGTAGTGTGTTTTGAATGAAAGCACTGGCGCCATTTTCTCAGCACAGAGGTGTGCTGCGCTGCTGATGCACGTGACACGGAAGGCTGCCAGAGCACCTCAATATATGTGCTCCAGCAGACTCGATTAATCAAGTCTGCTCTGACGTGCTGAATTTCCAGCACATTGGAGCAGTCTCCCCACATGTGTGTAAGTGTCCCCAGTGTTGGTATTACATGCTGGAGCACATAAAACTGGTCCTAATCCTTTTAACCAACCTGGTATCCAAATTCAGCAATGCACCTTGCAAAGCAGCCAGGGGTGCTGGGATATGATTGTAGATGCCCCATTATTTTCAACTGGCATTTGCTTTGGTGACTTTTAAGTGGCTTTTGAATTCTGCAACAAATCTCTCCTCAGGGTGGCTCCTAAAACCTGCCTCACCCAGCCTGTAACTTTGGAAAAAGGTGCAACAAGGGGGAGGTTACATGAGACTCGCTAGAGACTTTTGGTCCATTTACCCCACAAGAACATCCAATACACCAGGTTGTGTTAGAGCCAAAATGATGGCCCTAGGTCATTAAGATCTTAATTAATGCACACTTTATGTGAGTGTGTGCACATTCTTTGTGAGTGTGTGTTTACACAAACACCATACATGAGCATGTTTGTATGAGTGAATGTGCAGGAATCTTGTTCTTGCCAGTATACATGGTGAACCACATGCCTGCACTTCAGGCTTGTGCACATGTATACATGTACACATTGGTGTTGCATATGCTAATGTTCCATTGGTGTGAGATTTGTCTGAGCTGTAGGGGGTTATTCCTGGAGGTTTCAGATGGAAGTGTTTTGGTAACTGCAGGTAACAGCAGTTCTAAGATGCTAAAGTAACCTAGGTACCTAAATCCCTCTTTCAAAAGTGAGCTAGTAGAAAGGGGATGTAGATCTCAGTGAAAGTCCAGGGGGTTTAGGTGCTAGGTCACCCAAGATTGTTTTGGGAAGGGTACTTGGAGTGGAGTATTGCTGTGGTGTTTGCTGTCGTGACATAAGAGGCAAAATCTAAGGGCCTCTTGCCACAGGGCGGGAGCCAGCCTCTGACAAATGGGGCTTGGAAGAAACTCCTCTGATGCACAGAATATCAGTTAATTGCCTACTGCAGAGTAGCCTACATTCTCTTTTGAATAGAATCAGGTACTGGCTGCTATTGGAGTCATGCCTATTTTTTATACATTGATGGTGACCCATGAAGAACTACAGGCCCCCTCAGTATCTGGAGGGAGGCCACTCAAGGTAATAACTAATCCTGTGGGGCAAATCATGAGAAAACAGGAATGTGAGTGCAGGTTATAGGCTAAGAACTAGGATTCCCAGGGGGAACACCAAGCAAAGGACTCCAGCAGGAACCTACTGCCCCTTGAACGTGTCTAGGGATCCTGTAGATGCTGCCTTGTGAAATGTTGCTTGGATAGATCCCTGCTCCAATCCACCCAGTAATTTCAGGGTCATAACAAAGTGCACTAGAGCTAATGCTATGAGGTGGAGACATCCCCTGTGCTGCACGCAAAGGAGGGAGGAGAGTTGCTTTCCACTGTGGCTATCTTAAAGGCACTGCTAAGTGTTAATGCTAAAGGAAGGTGAATGCAAAGCTTGGGCAGAAGCTCACCAGATCCCAAGGAGGCCTGCCCCGGGAATAGCTCAACATGGATGCAGGGAGCAGGAGAACCAGCCCAAGCTGAAGTGCCAGGAACTCATCCAGGGCCTTTTCTCTCTGTTAGAAAAAGAATGATGCTCTGAACACTGAGCTGCCCAATGGGAAGCCACACAGAAGTGTCACCTGGCAGGAGACAGGTAAGGCTGAAAGACAGCAGTGGGGCATAAAGGAGCTGGGCCTGGGGAGGGCAGCAGGCTCTTTGGGCCACTTCATCTGGGAACCTGGAAGTGGAAGTCATGATTTGCTAGATCACAATCATGCCTGCCATGGGGCCTTATTTGGCTGGTAAGAATAGTAATGGGTGTCAGAGAGGGCTACAGGAAACTGCCCTCACTCTTCCCTGCTTTCCCTGAAGCTCCCAGCTCCTCCATGCACACACTTGGCTTCTGCTAGCCAGATCTCATCTCTGGAGGGAAAGACCTGGGGCCCAGAGCAGGAATTGATGCCAATCATGCTACATGGAAGTGGGCAGCTCTGCAGATGGAGCAGTCAGCTGGGCACCCAAGTACTTTGCACTCAAGGGTACAGATTGGCAGTAGAGGAGGCCTTTAGGGAGCCCAGGATATCTGCCTCAGCAGGCACTTTCAAAGGTATGCAGGCACTGGTGGGTCCTGTTTCAACACTACCTGGCACTCCTGTCCCCTGCCTTGGGCAAGGTGGTGGCCCTGAATTCCAGCCCCGCATGGAGTAAGTGGGTTTTGGCACTGGCACCCTTGATATCCTACTACTTTCAGCCAAACAGTGGGTGATTAAGGTCTGCAGGACAGCTTTGCAGTGAGGAATTTCAGGATTACTGAGCTTTGGGGGAAGGGGTTGAGGAGGGCACAGAGGACCAGGGAAAGGCCCTGAGCTTTCCTGGTGCTGGGTCTCCTTCTAGAGGCTGTAGTGATAGGGGAAGAGCACAGGACTCACTGAGCACAGAGAGACCATCACACAGTGTGCCAAGTCCTGAACCCGACATATTTCCCTATCTCTGCCCATTGCAGCTCCTGTCACAATGATGGTCAACTCAGAGGAGGAGGAGAGCGACAGCTCGGAGACAGAGAAGGAAGATGATGAGGGGATCGTATTTGTTGCTCGAGCGACGGATGAAATCCTTCAGGGAAAGAAGACTTCTAGTACAGGCTGCCCTTCCCATTGGGGTAAAGAGGGCCAGTACTGTAGAGCCAGTAATGTAGCTGAGCCTGTGAAAGATGATTTCCTGCCCCTCAGGGGAACAGTGTCCCTCACTGGGGCAAAGAAACCATTGGCTGAATCCAGTGGATCAATGGCTCACTGTAGGGTTGGTGTCAGGTGTATAAACCTCCTTCCAAGACTGAGCCCAATCAGGACCTGGGCACATGGGCCCCAGTTAGAAGCTGGGGCTCTGGGCTGGGAGTGTGGCAGTACAGTTTGACCTGAGGAACTGGTGCATTTATCTGCAGGTGATTGTTGGAGCCCCTTTTGCCAACCACTGTGAGGACAGCCAGCAGCTGTCATACTGAAGCCCTGCCAGAAGCTGTCAGATAAACCCCTTCCTGGGGGAGTGTTGTTTGGCAGCTTGGCATGGGCTGCCTGGGCCTGCATCACCCACTGTGCCAAGGTATGGCTCATGGTACATCATATGGCGCTTGGAGGCAAAGCCAGAGCTGTCCTCAGAGAGTTGCCTGAGGTCAGTGGGACACAGGGCCATGGTAGAGTTGCTGCCTCATGGGGCACCCTGTTTCTCCTGTCCCAGTGTCCTGCTCTCAGATTTGCTGCACTCCAGGCTGTGTCTGGCCTGGGCACTGGTGTGTGTGTATAGAGAGCGAAAGTCTCCCTCCCTTGTGATCCGCAATCGGGGGCATTGCAGGTAAGTGGGGTAAGTCTGGTAACCATTTTAGGTCAGTGGGGTCAGGCCAGGTCTATGGGAGCTTCTGTATGGAGCAGGCACAGCCCATGCAAGTCACAAGCCAGGTTCAAATGCTGACCTACCAGCTTCTGGGGCCCAGATAAAGTCCAAACCTCAGTGCTAACCCCAGCAGCGTCAGTGAGTGGCCCCCTGGAAGTCCCCCTACCCAGGTAGTGTGCAAGTGCTGTATGCCCCACAGCAAGGGCTCCTTTTGGTTTGAATCAAGCCCTCCATAAACTCCTCACTCCTGAAGTTTTCTAGAGCATTTGTTTCCCCCCTAGGAGAGACCACATGGAGGGTGCTGTTTCACCTGGAAACATTTGGGGGATAGCCTCAGTTGAGAGGACACTCACTCTGTACCTCTTTTCCCCTGAAAAGAGATAACCTGTGTACATGGGTTTTTCAGTCAGTACTCATGGGAAAGGAAAAGCAACTGTTTTCTTTTCCCCTGCCAGTGCCCAGGATTCTCTGGTCCTGGCACAGACAGTGCTGTCCCCTTGACTGACTGGCTTAGGGACTGGGTCAGCAGGGAAGGCATCCCGCTAATGGGATGTGGTCTGTGATAAAGACAATCCAGTCAGCAGCTGCTCTCCCTGTGAGGATCCCACATAATGCTGGTTTGTGTTAGCATCACTGTCTCTGACAGACAACCCTCTCCTGTCCAGACCCCCTTCAGTGTCTGCCAGGGTGCGATAGCAGGGAAAGGTTTCCATCTCTCTCCTCATCCGAGGGGCTTGTAAGACACATGCATCTCCTTTGTGGAGGCCACTCTCTTATCTTGCTGATAATGAGCCTGTAAAGCTGTTTCCCCCCACCTCAGCTCTGCACATGACTTCTGTGCTGGCATCTAGTTAAGGGCTCCCAAGGGGATAACAGCAGCTGGCAGCCAAGATCTACCTTACGGAGTGCAGAGCAGGCTCTGCCTATGCATCTCTTTGATGTCACTCTCTTTTGTCTTTGTTTCTGCAGGTAGCCTGGACATCTGCCCAAGCCCATGCATCATCCCCCCCTCGCCCACCTTGGCAGAGAAAGAGCTGCCATGGAAGGGTGACCAGGACAGCCTTGCTGTTTACATCTCCTCAGAAACCACCAAAATTGTACCAGTGGACATGAAAAAAGCCTGGAACCAAAGCATCTCCTCACTGGAGAGCATTGCCTCCCCAACGGGGGTCGAGACAGGCCCTCATGGCAAGAAACTGGCCAGCCCAGTGCTAGAGGAGGAGCCCCAGTCAGCCAGCCCGACGATGCCAGAGCAGCGCACCTGCTTTCAGTTTCCCAACCATGTTGCTAAGAGTGGCAGGTCCCAGAGCGACAGCAGCCCAGAGAGTATTGAGCAACAGGAGCTGCAACCTTTGATGGTTCCAGAAGATCATACCAGGATGAGTCCATCTGCAGGGCCAAGCAACAGCAGGTGGTTAATTCAGTTCAACAGGCCAACCAGACTGTAAGACAGACAGTGCATGTAGCCCATCCATATGGAGTGGGAAACTAATCTGGAACTTGCCATCTGGTCTACTAGCTTGCATCGTGGAGCTTGTGTCTGTTTCTGTAAAGTACAGGACTAGCAGGAGAGCAGCTGGAGAGCCTGCCCTGTTGCTTCCCCAGGGATGGAATCCCATTTACACTGCACCAGGGAGGAGCGCTGGCCAGAGCAGCTGCTAATTTGGGATCATGCATAGGTAAACTGACCTCAGGCCGTAACAGTTTCTGTGCCAGCAGATGGGAAGAATGGATCATAAACTTAGTTCATTTCTTATGCAAACTCAAAACTTTGAAACCACCTGGAGCCTTTCCTCCCAGTCTGGCTGCTTGGAATCTGTATCCTGGGCTGCTCTACTACCTGGGATTGGCAACCTCAGCTGACAGGGTTAGTTGTAACCCTTTAATACACAGAAGCACCAGCCCAGGGGAGGGGCAGGTGCAGGTACAGAGCAGTTAAAATATCTCCCTGTGTCTCTAGGCTCAAGTAACCTGCTCTGGGGTCCTGCCAAAAATGCCTGCCCCCAGTCAGCTCAGCTGTAAATGGTGCCTGGTCATTCAGGCTCTGAAGCTGAAAGCAGCTGGATATGATGTTGGCTACATAATTCCCTTGTGTGCCACTAGCTACAGAAATAGTCCTACCAACGGTCATAAACTTCTCCATTACAGTTTTAGGCTGGACATAAGGAAAAACTTCTTTACTGCCGGAGCCCCCAAGGCCTGGAATAGACTCCCTCCAGAAGTGGTGCAGGCACCTACTCTGGACTCATTCAAGAAACGTTTGGATGCTTATCTTGCTGGGATCCTTTGACCCTAGCTGACTTCCTGCCCCTGGGACAGGGGGCTGGACTCGATGATCTTCAAGGTCCCTTCCAGCTCTAACATCTATGAAATGTATGAAAGCAAGTAAGCCTGGAGTTACTTGTCACATATGTAAGCTTTGACCAACGCCACAGTAAAGAAAGGTCATGACTTGTTTATCATAACCTAGGAGTGCTTCCTTCCTTTTTTGTGTCCTTGTGACAAGGAATTTATTAGAATTTGCAGATTTTGTTGGAATCTGAGAGGCCGCACGGCAGGAGGAACAGAGCAGGTTTCTTCCATTGCTCTGCACAACCTGGGCCAAACCAGCACAGCAACTCTTTCATAATCTTCCTTCTTGCTTTTTCTGCTTTCATGGCACCCTCACTGAAGGCTTTTGTGCCTTGTACCTGGCAATGTGGAGTGTGCAGGGCCTTGCAGGTTTTCAAGGGCTTTTTATATTGCTTTGCATTACTTGTACCCTTTCTTTTGGTCTTTGATTTCTGATATCAGACCACAATAAAACCTATAGCTCTGTCAGTGTTTTTGGTAACCATGGTACGGCAAATTATTTAAAGAGGTAATATATTTACTTGCAAAGAATATTTGTTTTAATGTGGAAATATATACCATGTATTTTGTAACTTACGATTAAACTGGTCTCAAACAGGCATCTCTTCCCTTCCTTATTTCTCTCTGACTCTTGCAGCATTTTGCGTCCTGCTGGAATACACGTATCATCAGTCAGACAATAACAGAGGTTGGGCTAGAATTAAAGTTAAGAGTCCATCTTGGTAAGTTGGGGTAAAACAAAATACAAGGATGGTGAATATAACAAAATGTCAGGATGCTATGAATGTTAAAGGTAATCTATATGGGTGAAGGCTGGAAACATTCAGGAAAGGTATCCAAACAAACCTGCCAGACCCTTCAGTAATGTCCAACAATAGCTGGAGGATTACAACTAAGGTATTTCAGTTGATTACTGGTAGGATTATACTAATCTCGAAGACTGGTGGATGCTTCACTGTAGGGCTGTGTGAAACTTCACCGGCTGCTTCATTTCAACGCTGTTTCAGCTCGTTTCGAGCTCGAAACGGAGAAATCAAAACGAAGAGCTTCAAAACAGGCTCAAAACAAAACGAGGCCAGTTGAAATGTTTTGAAACATTTTGACTTAAGAAGCAGCCCGCCAGGTAGTGAGAGACAGGGGAGAGCCAGGGCTGCGCTCCCAGCGGCTCACGTTCCCATGTGACTCAGTGCGGTGGGGAGCGCAGCCCTGGCTCTCCCTGCCTCCCACTGCCAAGCTGTGCTCTGTGGGGCTGGTGGAGCCAACTGGAGTGCAGCACTGGCTTTGCCTACCTCCCGCTGCTGGGCTGTGCTCCGATTGGCTCCACTAGTCCCCTGGACCTCAGCCCGGTGGCAGAAGGTGGGCAGAGCTGGTGTCTCCCACCACCAGGCTGAGTTCCAAGGGGGCTGCAAGCTTCTGGGAACTGAGACCAGCTGGGGGAAGCACCTCCCACTGATGGGCTCTGTTCCCAGTGGCTCTCAGTGCTGGGGAACTCAGCCAGGCTGGGGAAAGCACCTCCTCCAGCTGGGCTGAGTTCCCAGTGCCTCACAAGGGCCTGGGAACTCAGCCTGGCTGAGTTCCCCAGCCCCTTGCCTCCTCCAGCCCAGCTGAGTTCCCCAGCACTGTGAGGGGCTGGGAACTCAGCCCAGTTGAAGGAGGTGCTTCCCTCAGCCAGGCTGAGTTCCCCAGGGCTGCTAGGGGCCTGGAACTCAGCCTGGCTGGAGGAGGCACTTACCCCAGCCGGGCTCAGTTCCCCAGTGCTGGATCCCAGGCGGCAGAGGCAGTGACCTGTGACACAATAGGCAGATCGGGGGCCCACCTGCACCCCCAGAAGTGCTGTGGGGACTCTGCAGGACTCCCCCCGGGGGTGCAGGCCCCCAATCTGCCTGATGGATGACAGGATGCTGCTCCTGCTCCCCACTTTCTGCTTGTGAGCAGCCTGAGGTGCAGTTTCCTAGAAACCCCTGCACCAGTCTTCTTGAAACTTGGTAGACGTTATGGCCTCAGAAGGGGCTACAATCCCTGCAAGTTTCATTGGAATCAGACAAGAAATGACAAAGTTATAGGCTGTTTTGTGCTTCCCCATTTTAGCCTATGGGCAAAACATCGAAACAGTGAAACCGTTTCGACAAAAGTGAATGGAACAGTGCTTTCAAAATGAAACAAACTCGAAATGAAACACTGTTCCGTCGAAACGGAAGTTGAAGTGGAACCCTGCTGTTTCACACAGCCCTGCTTCACTGCAGATACACTCCCATCTAGGCAATGGTTAAATCTTGCACCTGCTTCCTGCAGAGTCCTTAAATTGTGGCTAACGGGATAACGGAGACCTGGTGGAATTCCACCCATGACTGGACCACAGGTATAGACAGCTATACCCTGCACAGGAGACATCAAGCTGACAAAATGGGCAGGGGTGTAGCTCTCTATGTCCAGGAAAGCTACGCGTCCCTGCAAGCTGACATTGGTGCCCAGGGTGGAGTTTGCCAGGGAATTGACTGAAGCTGTGCATTCCCGGTGGATGGTTGTCATGGCAAACTTCAACTACCCAGACATCTCATGGGAAGAGCGCTTGGCCAAATCAGAGCTGTCATGAAGATTTCTCTCATGCGTAGATGAGCTCTACCTGACGCAAAAAGTCAATGGGCCAACGAGAGGTAAAGCGCTGCTTGACCTGGTACTGGGTATGGGGGACGACCTAATCAGCGACCTAGCGATCGAAGGGAAGCTGGGTGACAGTGACTATGGCTTATCACCTTCACCATCTGCTGTAAAGCTCGCAAGTCAGTCAGCAATACAGAAGTCCTTGACTTCAGGAAAGCTGACTTTGACAAGCTCAAGAGGCTTGTCAGTGAGGCCCTAACTGACTACGACTCAAAGGGGAGGGGAGTTCAGGACGAGTGGTTGCTCCTCAAGGGACCGATCCTGGATGCACAAGCAAAGTCTATCCCATCTCGGAGGAAAGGCAGCAAAGGGCACAGCAGCCCCCTTGGCTCTGCAGGGAACTAGCGGACCTCCTGCATCTAAAAAGAAAGACCTACAGAGGATGGAGGACTGGATCTTCCTCCAAGGAGGAACATTCTGCACTGGTCCAGACCTGCAGGGAGTGAACCAGGAAAGGCAAGGCTGTGTCTGAACTCCAACTAGCTACAAGTATCAAGGACAATAAAAAGTCCTTTTTTAAATATGTGGGGAGCTGGAGGAAAAGCAAGGGCAACATTGGACCCCTGCTAAACCAGATGGGACAACTGACAACTGATGCCCAGGAAAAAGCAAACTTGCTAAATGGGTACTTTGCATCAGTTTTTCACCAGTCCCAAGGGGCACCCCTGCCCATTACAGAACAGGAACGCCTGGGTGAGGGTGATTCCTTATCCTCCATCAATACTGACCTTGTGAAGGAACATCTTGAGAGGCTGGACACCTTCAAGTCAGCCGGCCCTGACAGTCTACACCCCAGGGTACTCAAGGAGCT